TGGTTCTGCCAAGTACACCAGCTGAACTTCCAGAAACCTTGGGGGAGGGGCTTGAGAGAACAGGGTGGCAAAGGGAGTCCTGGCCACAGATCTCTGACTGCAGCATCCCCTCTGCAGGTTATTGTGAGGACACTGAATATGGTGATCTCTTTCCAGACTTCCTAGTGGGAAGTAGAGCTGACATCCTTGCACTTTTGGGTTTCCCTTCAACCTGTCTCAAAGGTCTTTTCTGTAGGTCCTAGTCCAGGCAGTGGAGGACACACATCTGAGCCCATGTTCTTCTCGCCTTTATTTCCTTCTTATACCCCACGTTTACTAAGATGGAAGGGCTGAGCTTTTTCCTTCCTTTCCCCTTTCCTTTTACTATCCCACTGAATCATACTCTCCCAAGTTAGAGAGTGGCATTCCACCTTTCCCTTGTTTTTATGGTTAAAATATGGGAGGGTACAAGGAGAGAGAAGCGATGACCATAATTGAGGAGGTATTTCTAAATCATTGTACCTGTCATATGAACAAATGCTTATTAGTCATTCTTTACTAATCACAAAGTTGAAGAAGAAAGCCTGATGGTTTATTTCTCTCTGTCACTGTTTTTTTTTTGGTTTGTTTGTTTGTTTTTTAGTATTTTGAAATGTATAATTGGTTTTACATGTGTGCTGCAAGTCCTTGCCATTCAACGTGAGGTCCATGACCAACGGCATTGGCAGTTGCTGACATTTGTTAGAAATGTAGAATCTCAGGCCCCACCCTAGAACTACTGGTTCAGGACCATCTGAATGAGATCTTCAGCTATGCCCTATGCACATTAAAATTTGAGAAGCACTGCCCTAGGCCACCATAGCCTTACTGAAGGTGTTGGCTTCATCCGCTGTAACCATCATCGGCATTCAGTAAACATTTATTAATGTTAGCCAATGACGATCCTTCCCTTGGGTGCTTATGGTCCTAATCAAGGATCTTTATAATTATGGTAAAGTAATTAAAATAAAATAGGCATTTCTAAGTCTAGTCTTCCATCACCAGACACACCTTAATTTTTTTTGACAGATCTATTAAGTTGTAAGTTATGAAAAGTGGATGTTCATTTTCTTAGAAAGCAATCATTTAATATACAGTATAGAGACATCAATAAGGTGGTAATAAGACACTCACTTGATAAATGCAGATTCATTCCGAGGCTGCTGCTTCACTGGTATGGATAGGTTTTTAAAAAATTAATTAATTATTATTTTACATTTTTCAATTACAGGTGACATACTATAGCATATTAGTTTCAGGTATACAATCCACTGGTTAGGCATTATATTACTTACTAAGTGATCTTCCTGATAAATTTTGTACCCATCTGACACCATACATAGTTATTACAGTGTTATTGACTACATTCCTTATGCTGTACTTTACATCCCTGTGACTACTCTGTAACTACCAATTTATGCTTCTTAATCTCTTCTCCTTTTTTAATCATCCTTCAAACCCCCATCCCATTTGGCAACCATCAGTCTGTTCTCTGTATCTGTGAGTCTGTTTCTGTTCTGTTTGTTCATTTATTTAGTTTTTTAGATTCGGTTGAAGATAGATATGTATATTTATTGTCATTTTATTATTTATATTTTCTTATCTTTTGTTTCTTCTTCTTCTTCAAAAAGACCCTCAACATTTCATGAAATACTAGTTTGGTGATGATGAACTCTGTTAGCTTTTTCTTATCTGGGAAGCTCTTTATATGTCCTTCAACTCTAAATGATAGCTTTGCTGGGTAGAGTAATTTGGGTTGTGGCTCCTTGCTTTTCATCACTTTGAATATTTTTTGCCAATTCCTCTGGCCTTCAAAGCTTCTGTTGCGGAATCAGCTGACGGTCTTATGGGAGCTCCCTTGTAGGTAACTAACTGCTTTTGTTTTGCTGCTTTTAAGATTCTCTCTTTGTCTTGAACCTTTTGCATTTTAATTATGATGTGTCTTGGTGTGGGCCTCTTTGGGTTCATCTTGTTTGGCACTCATCAGTTCAGCTTCCTGGACTTGTATATCTATTTCCTTCACCAGGTTAGGGAAGTTTTCTGTCATTTTTTCACATAGGTTTTCAACTTCTTGCTCTTTCTTCTTCTTCAGGCATACCCTTGATGAGAATGTTGGTATGCTTGAAGGCTTTTTATATTTTTCTCATTTTTTTTATTTTTGCTGTTCTGATTGGGTGTTTTCTGCTTCCTTATCTTCCAAATCTGTGATTTGATTCTTTGCTTCATCTACTCCTCTGTTGAATCCTTGTAATATATTTTTCATTTCAGTTAGTGTATTCTTCATTTCTGACTGGTTCCTTTTTATGGTTTCTAGTTTCATTTTAATGTTTCCTATCTCTTTGTTAAAGTTCTTACTAAGTTCATCTACTCTTCCCCTAAATTCACTGAGCATTCTTATAGCCAGTGTGTTGAACTCTGCGTCTAGTTGATTGCTTGTCTCCATTTTGTTTAGTTCCTTTTCTAAATTTTGTTCTGTTCTTTCAGTTGGGACCTGTTTCTTTGTGTCCTTATATTGGCAGCCTCCCTGTGTTTGTTCCTATGTATTGGATAGAGCTGTTATATCGCCCAGGCTTGGTAAAGTAAACTTATGTAGTAGGTGTCCTGTAGGGTCCAGTGACACAGCCTTTCTGAAATGGGCACTCTGGGAGCAACCCCTGTGTGGGCTGTGTACTCTACTGTTGTAGTTGAGCCTTGATTGCTGTTGGCACTTCAATGGGAGGCATTTACTTCCACGCCAATTGGTTGCAAGGACTGGCTTCAACCATGGTGGAGGATCAGCTGTGCAGGCGCCGACCCCACAGAATAGGACTTACTTCAGTGGGGCTCTTATGCTTGCTGAGTCTGTCCTTTGAGTGTGTCATTTGTGGAGGTGGTTGGATGGTGCCTTGATGGTGTCTGAAGCTGTCCACTGGGTGTACTGGCCCTGGATCCTCCAAAGAGGTGCAGGCCAAGGTCAGCCAGCACCTGCATTCTGCCTGGGGCCACCCAGCATAAGCTACAAAGTGATCTGCAGATAGTTGCTACTTATGCTGGGCTTGGAGGTGCCTAGAAGAGGCCAACATGCAAACCAAGGCCAGGGGCCACTAGTGCCAGGCCCGAGGCCACATAAAGAAAGGTTTAGGGCACATGGTGGCCAGGGGCTGCTTGTTTGAGAGATTTTAGGAAAGTCTAAAGCATGAGCCAAGACAGGCCATTAATATGGAAAAACCACTTGAAACAACTTGGGTCAGCCCATAAGTTGGTTTGGGTGGGCCCACAAGTTATGTGGGGTAGGGTCTCAGGGAATCACCAGCACGAGGCAAACTGTGATAACCCGGTTGATGGAGACTCAGATATGGTGCCTCCTGCTGGCTCTGTTGGGGGAGGTCTCTGAAAAGGAACGATGGTCTCTGCCAGCACTTGCCCTGATGCCTAACAATTCAGTTCCTCCCATATTTCCCTGGTGCCTTTTAAGCTGCTGTCCCAGTGCTGGAGCTCAGAGGGAGAGAGTCTGAGGAAGTCCATGCACAGGCCCTTTAAGAGGAACTGCCTGGGACTCCACAGCCCTATGTCTCACCCAGCCACAATCGCTGCTGGTTTTTACAGCCAGAAATTATGGGGACTTCTCTTCCTGGCACTGAAACCCTGGGCTGGTGTGGGGTTGGGACCCCTCATTTCTCAGGGGTCCCCTCCACAGCTGAGATATCCCTCCCAATTTTTATCCACTACATGTGGGTGTGGGAACAGTCTATTCCACATCTCCTCCCCTCCTACCAGTCTCAGCGTGGCTTCTTTGTTATATTCTTAGTTGTAGGACTTCTGTTCAGCTAGATTTTAGGTGGTTCTGAATGATGACTTTCCTGTAGTTTAGTTGTAATTTTGATGTGGTTGTGGGAGGATATGAGTACCGCACTTACCTACACGCTTCTTGACCAGAAGGCCAGGTAGGGTTTTATTCAGTTAGAGTTTGACAGGATTCTAGGATTTCTTTTAGGGGGATGAGTTTTGTGGGGAAGGAGAAAGTCATAGTTTTTCATCTGTACTTTCATTTTCTGATCACAGTGTTTTAGAAGAATCTGGGCTTTACTTATTCACCGGGCTTTCAATAGAGAATCACATTAATCCTTTTAAGCTCCTTATTCTAATGATTTATTTTGTTGAAAACCATAGTGATCCTCCTTTGAATTTTAATGATTGCTGCCTATTCAAAGATTCATTGTTTTGACTTCCTGTCCTTACCTTTGTTTCCTACATGTCTGTGGGGAACACCTGTCTAATACTGGATCTGCCCCTGGTTCTCACTGGCTTACCAGAGTCACTCAAGCCTATCTCTGAGTGTTAAGCTGAAATGCTGCCTACTCATCCATGACAGTAAATGTAGGATATATGTTTGCAGAGATAGGCAGGTAGACAGCAGAGGGACAGATAAATGATTGAGCCTCTTCCCAGTGAAAATTTTATTTCGGATATAATAGTCAATTATGATTATTGTAGAGAAAATAGTTAAATTAGTATTCCTAATCATTAGTCTATTGGGATGTAGTATCTATGGGAAATCTAGTAGATGACAAAGAGGTTTGAATTCTGAGGGTACTGTTCTAACCCCAAATTCTGAACCACGTAACCTTCCTACAGCAGTGACCCACCACTTCTGAGCCTGTTAAATGTGACAGTGTTCTTTTTCAAGGATGTGGTAGTAGTTCTCTTGTTCAAGTGCTACAAGTCTTCAGAAAGGGTTAGCAAATGGAAATTGCCATGATAATATGTCTCAGGTACGAGCACCGAAATTACATGTTATGATTTCGAAATCTAAGAAGTGGCTATGTCACAAGCTTGAGTTCCTCTTTTGCCCACTGTGTTACCACACAGAGAATTTTTTTCCTGCTCTTTTTATAGGGATCGCCTAGGAACATCATGGGTTTTCAAGAATATATTATTCTAATATGAGATTTTTAACAACTACACTGCATTTATGCATAATACATTTTGTGTCTTATCTTCAGGCTTCTGGATTTTGATTCAGAGTATCAGGAGCTCTGGGATTGGCTGATTGACATGGAGTCCCTCGTGATGGACAGCCACGACCTGATGATGTCAGAGGAGCAGCAGCAGCATCTTTACAAGGTTAGAGCTACCCTTCTTGCTTTTACCTTGCTGTGGAAGATCTGATTAGCCTGACAAGTCTCTCTCTCTCACAGGATATCTTTGCGTTCATTGTATGTATCATGGTGTCTATTAGAATTCTCTTCCCTGTCCCCAAACTCATTTCCATCCCTTGTGTGCTGACAGGCTGTACCGACATCATAATTGCAAGAAAGTTCCCTTTATCACATTCTATTTGGTGTAATTCTATAGAAGGACAAAGATTTATCTTCAAGATGAATAGCAATAAATGAAACTGCATTAATACATAGACTGAAACAAAATGAAGGGTAAACGGACTGGTAGCATTTAGCAAAATGTGTTTTGATTGGAGTACTCAGGTAGCTTCTATCCACCCCTCAGATCTTCCCAGAGAAAAAACAAACACACGTGCCTTCGGTTTGGCTTGCAGCTTGCAGGGTACAGGGCTTGTCCAATTTAATGTTTATTAGTGATACACAGAGCAGACGTTGTCATACTAAGTCGATACATTTGCGTGTGATTTAAGAAAACTGGCTTGGAACTCACATATTGATTGCAGGCAATCCATCTAATAACTATCTGTATTGTTTTCCATGTCTACTAATTCACCCTTAGCCCAGTGTGTTTCACCAATTCCACTTCAATCGTCTTAGAAGTTCTTACAAAACAGCCCTGTGATTTTGACGGAAAAAATGGTTGCAAGATTCACAGTGTCTGAAAAAGCTACTGGGGAGGGTAGAGGGACTTTCCACTGAAATATCAGACTGTAGTAAATCTTCCTCATTTAGGCAATTTTTATTGGAGTAATTCTGACAGTTGTCATCCTTGAATTGCTTTGAGCATATGGCATATTTCAAAGAGCAGATTGTGAATCATAAAAAATAAAATTAATAACTAACCACAGAATCAGCAACAGTATAATGACAAGAAACAACTACCCTCTAGCTTTTTAAAATTTCTTATAGAATAAGAAGTACATTCAAGGTCAAACAAAAGTTGTCTTCTTTCTTCTTCAATCTTTATCATTTCAAGTTACCTTAATTTAATATTTTAACTTTTTCCCTCCTCTAAAGAGAAATATTTATTTGTATTTTTTTCAGGGTCTGGTCCACTTTAACTAGCGTACCCTGGGAATCATTTTGGTTAAGAGAAGAAGTAAGCTCCCAAGGGACTCAGCAAATTGTGGTATTTTACTCTCTAAAGAATTTGGGGAAGCCCTGGCAGATTTGGCTCAGTGGTTAGAGCGTCAGCCCGCGGACCAGAGAGTCCTGGGTTCGGTTCCCACTAAGGGCATGTACCTCGGTTGCAGTTTGTCCCCAGCCCCGGTTGGGGTCATGTGGGTGACAACCAGTCAATGTGTCTCTCTCACACCGATGTTTCTCTCTCTCTCTTCCCCCCTCTCTCCCTCCTGCTGTATCTGAAGATAAATACAAAAAATGTCCTCGAGTGAGGATAAAAATAAATAAGAAAGAAAGAATTTGGGGAAAAGGGTCGGGGGGAACTTCTGTAATACTTCCAACAATAAAGATTTTTAAAAATCATGACAACAACAATAAAAACATATAAATGTCTAATGTGTGCCAGTATTCTAATATCAGAACACGACCTCTTCTGTTGAAGCCTCGGCCTGCTGCTCATTGGTGTACGAACATAAGACCCACCATAAAGCTCATTCCAGGATCACAGTCTAGAGAATAAAAAAAGGAATTCTGTCTAACGTGAATCGAGTTTGTTGACTATTAGCTGTTTCCTGTATGGGTGGCTGTCCATATTAACAACAGACTAGGAATATATCTTCTGGCATAACACATGGTTAGAGAAACAATCTCAACCTGATGTGAACAGAGCTAGGTGATTTTACATTTTATGTCAGGGTCAAGAATTACATATGAAAAATGCCTATAAATCTATATTAATTTGTGATACAAAATATTTGTTTGATTCCTAAGGCTTAAGATTAAAAATTGAGCCACACTGGAAAAAAGAATACAAAAATTACCTAATCGTAAGCTGTTATCTCAGATTTTATTACACGCATGCTGCCAAAAAACTTTTTTCTTCCTGATGCATTTTGTATTTTGCACATAAACCGCTATTTTTTCAGAAACAGTGCTATTCTTTGTCAAAATCACATCCATATAATTTACATCACAATTAATAGGAAACCACTGAACAAAAAATACAGTCTTCTTTTTCTTGTGGTTTCCTTGTAAGGGCTCTCTGCCTGAGAAGTCTCATTCTGACATATCGAAGGCCATTTTAACGCCCCCTCAATACTTCTGGGTTGTAGTATTTTTCCGAACGTTTTTCTTCTGGGTTTCTTGATTTGTGACTCATGTCTTGTCATCTTTTTTTTTTTTTGCTTTTAGGTGTTCAAAGTATCTGTTTATCAGATTAGCACTCACTTTGCATTTGGCTTATAAGCAATATTAAAAGACTGAGTTAGAAACCAAGGGTAGGTGCTACAGGTTTGTCGAGTTTCTCTGTATATTATTCCAGAGGTTTGGAAACTTCCAAATCAATCCTGAGGAGATAGACTGAGGAGTAATTTAGAACTTGGGGTGGCTTCTGAATTAGAAAAGCTGATGAAGGAGAATTAATTTCAGGTAGTTGCCAAGAATTCCCATTTCCGTGTCCCATTCCTCTGTTGTAAGCTGCTTCTTCAGGATTTCACTGAACCGATGCCATGGGGGCGGGAGGCTGGAGCCTGTTGATCACGGAGACTCCTGAAAGAGCCCAGCTTTCCCTTGGTCCCCAGGCCTTCCCAGCCCTCAGTACCACTGGGACCACCTTAATCAGTTTTAATCTTCACACTTTTTGGCTCTGAAAGCTGCCAGTGCCTTAGTAACCTTTCTCATCAAGAGCACCACTGACATGTGGGATAAAACACATTTTTGTTAGTTTGTGGGACTATCCCTTTTGCTACTGGACCTTTGCTATTTATTTTCCCCAACATTGTGTCAACTCAACAGGACACCCAACCCATTTTACAGCATTTTCAGTCCCTCTCAACCTGTCTACCTCATCTTCATTTCTTGAAACACTGATGTAACAGCAGGGACAATGCCTTGCACTTGTCTTCTCTGTGTTGTTGAGGAAAGCACCTGGTACATTGTGCATTCATTGCACAGTCCTAGGCTGATCCTCCAGGTCCACATTTGGAAATGTTGGGTTAGAGAAAATATAGTGAGACGCTGCTCGGTGACAGTAAAGATTTTTAGGCGCTACCTCCTTGACTTTAGATACTAACTTCCTGACTTTACCTGTTTGTTTCATATTCTGGTCTCTGCTAGAAAATCATCTGACCTTAACTCCTAGATACGGAACTACAGGCAAATACCCCGACTATTCATTCAGCAGAACTCCTGAGTGGGGCGCCTGTTGCAAGGTCTTGGTTACCCCAAACTAGCTGGCTATCCAAGGAACTTATACAGGAAAAGAAATGGATTAAACCAGCAAAGAACACACTCATACAAACTGACATAATTTTGAACCTTAATATTACAGTGGGCTGTAAAGTGTTTTTGTGTGTTTATTTGTTTAAACCGTTTTTTGTTATTTTCAGATTGTTAGAAATTTAAGACCATTTTCTTTCTAACTAATTTAACACTGCAGGGTGCTAAGAGCAACCTAATTCTTATTAAAAATTAACCACTTCTACCCGGCTGGTGTGGCTCAGTGGTTGAGCGTCAACCCAATGCAGCAAGAGGTCACCGGTTCGATTCCCGGTCAGGGCACTTGCCCAGGTTGCGGACCTGATCCCCAGTGAGGGGCATGCAGGAGGCGGACGTCGATGTCTCCTCATCCATGTTTCTACGTCTCTCTCCTTCTTCCCTCCCCTCTCTCTCTAAAAAAAATCAAAACAGAAAAAAAAATTTTTTTTTAATTAACCATTCCCTTAAATATAGTTTCTTCTTTAGAGACAGTGAGCCTTACTCCCAATATCTTTCCTTCCCCCTTCTCTGTCTTGCCCAACCTCCAAATCGGGACCTACCGTACCTATTTTTAATAAATATTGGCAGTATTGTCAGCCTGGGAAATATTTCATTTTTTTCTTCCTCAACCTAAAAATCACCTCAAAAGAGAATTTGTTCCCATTCCCTCACTTTTTTTTTTTCCTTCTTACCTTTTTAAGTAGGACAATTTAATTTGTGAAAAGTAACCACCGTGGTTTTGAAAGTTCAGCTCCTATTTGTACTAGACTTACGAAGCCAGAATTCGCAATCACAGGGATCTGTCACTCTGCTGGTCTTGATGTGCATTAACTATTAATGGAGAAATATTTAAAACCCACTTGCAAAGGAAAAGCTCCATTTTTTTTTTCCTTTCTACAGATCAAAGGTGGCATTTTTCTGGGGCTCAGGGAAGCTCTAGACACCTCCTCCCCCATCCTGTACATTTTATAAACGGAGTGTCCTGGAAGCATCTCTTCAGGCGGTGGCTGCTGCCGCCGCGTCCTCCGCCACAGACACAGCTGACTCACTGCTTCAAGGCGTGCCCGGTCAGGGCCCTCACCTTGCCACCCAGCACCGCCTGTTCTGTCATCTGCAGAGCACAGATGACAGTACCCCTAGCGATCCTGGATGGGTGTGGGGTTCCAGAGTCCAAGGGTTAACTTCAAGGGCCAAATTTTCAAGTTGCAGTCTGGTGATTATTGTGATAGTTGAACAAGGGCTGTTTCCAGATAGTATGAAGCTCACTAAAACACCGTATTTATAAATTTGTTTCTTGAGTGAATGGCTTAGCTGTTCCTCATCAATAAAATATTGGATTATATGATTTTTAAGGGGTTAAAAATAACCCTTCCAGCTTAAAAATAATATGAAATTAGTAGCCACTTTAACTAAGACCTGCATACTTTCAAGGAATTTATACCGAAGATTTTATATTTAATTTTGAGGATTAGTTAGTCATATAGTTCTGCTTTTATGGGAAAAATGCAAATATCCTCTCTCTTTCTCCATTGGTATCAGTATTATATAAATATGTCCTGTGTGCAA